AGTGGAGGCAACCCAAACCTTGACACTACCGGCAGCAAATTCGGTCATGAGGAATAAACTTTTGAATCGATTAATTTGACTTGTTGTATATTGGCGTCCAGATTTTAGAATCTAAATTTTAGAATCTAATCTGAACGCCGACATACTAACAAAATAAATTTAGCGATTCGAAAATTTAATTCATCCAGAAAAGTTCTTAAATCGCTTCACCATTTCGTGTTACGCAAAGAAAACGTCACTGCAAATCGATGGCTGATATCTTCTGTAAGCTCTCTGTAAGCTTTGGATTCAGGTCACTGGGCCAAAAATGAACCGGAGGGAGGAATGCCTTACCATTACGCGGGAGCTGAAGCCTTATATTAGGATGGCCTTCCCCCAGTGACTCTAAATCAAGTTTGGTCCGGATTGCTGTGTGTCCCACTACTGGTTCCGGGTGGTTTCGAGTACCGGGCTAAGTTACGGTAAGTGGCCCACCTTGGCATTTGTGATGACCTGTTTTGCTCTCGAATGTCAGTAGGATAGTGGAGGCGTTTGGTCGGGTAGTCATAAATTGCTTCGATCCTTTCAGGCTCTGAATAAGGCGACCCCGCCGAAACGTAAGCCAATAAAGTCTACTTAACAACTTCGTGGAGAGCTTACAGAAGATATCAGCCATCAACATATCATGCCGAGGTTCTTGCAAAGCCGTACATTTCGACTTCACTGCAAATCATCTCAACCCATTTGTGCGTTCAGCAAATGTACTCCTCGTTTGACGAAGAGAATGTAATTGGTGGTACTGTATGTATATTGTATATTTATGCACTTACTGACTTACACTAATTTGTCAGAAAGATGTGAACACAGAGGGTAAACAGGAAATGAAATTGAACTTGGAACACACTATTTTCTTTCAATCCTCTCACATGATACCTTTTATCTCTGAAGGCTGGGAAAGTTTGCTTTGCAGACTCAACAAAACAAGTAACCACGACCTTCAAGTGAATCTTATAACTAGCAATTTTTATAGTGACAATTGGTAGTTGATAAGTGTTAGTTGTAAGGAGTACAATTGCAGCAAACTGATCACATTGTTGGCAGAGAACTATTACTATTAGTTTTGTGGAAGTCAGTTGTGCTGTGAAGTCTGCTGTGGACACACAGCTGGCTGCAGTGAGGCCGTATGTCATTGGTGGCTCCGACATTTAGAGCTTTGACTTTACACTCCGGTCATCACTCGCTCCCAAGCCACTACAGTTAGTTTGGGAGAACGGTAATTGCAGGGCAGCGATCGGGAAGTGGGGAGGCGGTCCATAAACTTATACTTGGCAACTCATTCAGAAGTATACGTATATGGGGCGAACAAGCAATGTGTTTGTCTGAGTCAAAGTTTAGTATTAGAAGGCAGCCCAATAGATAGAGGCGGTTAAGTTGTGTCAATGTGGAGGAAAATTGTGAAAAATGGCTCAGAACCCTGAGAGGATCTCTTTTGCTCGTTGACTTCCCACACTGATGCGACCCTCATTGATGCTCCTCCTCAACGCTGCGCTCTCTCTCTCTTTCTCGCTCTCTCTCGCTAAATGCTCTAGATACCCGACAAATGGTGGAGTGGTGAATGGTAATGGTAATGGCGTGTTCGCCGTACTTCGAAGACTAAAAAGGTGGAAACAATTTACGATTTATCCGATTAAAGGCTCACCTACTCCACGAGATGATGATCAGTCCGAACATCCTCTATATCCGTCGTTCTATAGGCTGATTCCGCTGATCGGAAGGTACGGTACCGTATCTGCCTATTACACGACATCGCATGTTTTGGATTTTGCACCTGCGTGGGACAGGAGCGATTTTGCGACGCGCCGTCCTCACCTTACTTACGTAATTTTTGTTTAAAAATGCACAATAACTTGAATTTCATAGGACTACTTTCGGCAAAGACGATTTCACAAAGGTTAAGTAGTATAAGAGAGCAAAGGTTTTCGTTTGGAAGAGCGCATAATAACCACGAAGAAGTAAAGAAACATCACTTTCGCTGCGAATGAAATTGAAAGCATTTATATCTAAGTACTCCTCAAATCAAATATATTGAAACTTACAGAGTTTTGTTTAACTAACCTCTAAAATCGTTTCATAAGAGTATTGACGGAGCTGAAAGTATTATTGAGAAAGAATCGGAACGAAAGTTTTGTGCGTTCGGAAAATCTTTGCTCAATCAAAAGATACACATCCGTTGCAAACTATACGACATACCCCAAATTGGGTTTCTGATGTTACGTGCAAACTAGCACAAAATTGGGTCACTATCATTCTCGATTCGGCGTGTAAGGAAAACTGCAACAGAGAATCTCCAAGCAGTTTCTGTCAACTTCCAGAATTTAGGGTCAAAAAATGGAAAAAATGGCCGTTTGCAAAACTATACGACATAGCAGAGATTTTGAAGATTTTTCTCACCTTTAGTACAATTTCCCCCAGGCACTCCGCAGTCATACTAGTACTGTATTGTAGAATATGCAGGTCACGGATTCGCCGTATCTTCGCATGGCACCTGAGGAGCCGATCTGACATGATTTCTACCATTTTTTGTATGCGTGCCACCTGGATCGTGCGACTGGCGTAATCTTCGACTAGCATCTTTTGTAGGAGATGAAGGATTGTACGATTATTCTAGGAAGCAAAGACTACAAAGCTCGGATGCTCCATAGTTTTCATTGATTTAGAACCCGCTAACGAGTGTCCATCCGAATAAAATCTTCATGTAGGTTTCAGAGCAAGTAGAAGACGGCTTAGCAACATGGATAACAACCTTGTCCTGCTGAGAAGTAATGCCGTTGATGACAATTGCTGGTAGTAGACGGTAGCCTGCGATGATTGAGCACTTACTGATTCGGTGAAAGTTCATTCGTTGTAATCTCGTGAAGACCACATCTAGCTTGCCACACCAAATAGGTTGTGCCAGTAATCAGTTATCATGCCTCCTTTTCGATGAGAAGATGGATTGTCTGCCCAAATCATTTTTATACTAGTGCACCATCAAGCTCGCTAGGAGGAACATTTTTTCACCAGAAAAACTACCTGCATATACACACACAAACCAAGCTGTTGGTCTCTAGGTAATAGCACGGAAGTCAATCCGCCACGAGAACGCTAAAAGGTTTGCCGAGCACCGTGATGTGCTCTAATATTACCGGATCAGTATGCGATACTAATCGCATCAGCAGCACACTTCTAAGCCAGTACAGCGCTGTTATTCATGTCGGTGAGCCAACTTCGCCTTGCTTTAAAGCCTACGATGTAGATTTACTCAGATGGTCCACTTGTTAGCGAAGTTCTAAATCCAATGAAAAACCTATGGGGCCTCCAAGCTCGTAGCTTTGTTCCTAGACTAAATCGGTACAATTCCTTGACATTTCCTACAAAAGATGCTATTCGAGATTATGCCTAGATCCAGGTAGAGGCATATTAAAATGGTGAAAACACTATCAGAGCGGCTCCTCAGAGGTGCTATGCAGAGCACGGCGAATCCGTGGCCTGCATATCCACCGTCCAGTACTGATATGACTGCGGAGTGCTGGGGGAAATTTTTACTGAAGTGAAAAAATTGTCAGGATTTCTGCTATGTCGGTATAGTTTTGCAACGCGCCATTTTTCATTTTTTGACACTGGATTCTGGAGTTGACTGAACTGCATGGAATCTTCTCTATTGTAGCGTTCTTTACACGCCGATTCGAATGACGTTCCCATTTTTGTGCTTAGTTCTCGTAGCTTCAGAAACCAAAATTTTGGGGTATGTCGTATAGTTTCTGCAAACGGAGTGTACTTCACCACTCTAGCGCCAAGCGGTTTATAGTCATGTAATGTTAATCTACTAGAATGCATCAAGAAACGCCGAGAGGAGGAGCGCAAGCACGAATAAAGGAGTTGCATAGACTTGACGCGCTTGCGCGTCAAGTCTATGCTACTCACTTTTATCGCGTCGAGAATGTCCGATGCGGGTGGCGAAATTCTTGACGCGCATGCGCGTCGGCTTGCTCGTCAACGTAGTAATTATGTCATGCGTCTAGCTGATCTCGAAGGTCTCGTAGGTAGGGGAGCATTTAGGTCAGAAGTAAATGTAAATTGGTTTCCACCTTTTTAGGTCCGAATAAGCGGAAACGCCGAAACTTAACGCGCGAATCATTATAACCTCGCTGCTGATTACCGTCCAAATAAATTCGTACAGTCAATAGACCATGACCACGCTGATAGCGGCCGCGTTGACGGTCAATGGCTAGATGCGCCTGAGGATGCTCTCGAAGACTTCACCTAAGTGTGGTCGTTTGGATGAAATTACTGCACATAGAGTAAAAAGAGGCTTGGGATTCTTCCTCTGATGCAGAGGAAACGTTAATACGGGTACCAAAACCCACATATGCAGAGAAGCATTATTGAGATGCGCTCCATACAACGCTGTTCGTGTATACGACCAAATGAAGGACTACTTGGAGCTATCCTGGCCAATTTGGTCAATTATAAAGCTACGCGATAGACTTAGAAACGTGCTTGAGCCACCCGAGCCTCCATTCTTACGAGGCCTTTTAATTACGGCCGGGGTTGTCCGGAAGGCTTGTAAGACGGGTGGCTCCAGCAATTTGCGTAGACCAAATCAAACTGAATTGCCATCACATAAAATTCGATTTGGGGTATCCTGGAAACAAAATGGTCCGAATTGAGTGCCGAATGTTTCTATACTTTATAAAGGCTTACAGTAAGTAGCAGTGTAAGGTGTCGATACAGTACACATTTGTGAGCAGCTGTCAATTTCTTATCCTTGTTCGGCGTGACCTACCGTTGGCACTGGTCATTTTTCAGGGCATCCACTCTTTGATCCCTCTGGTGGACAGCGTTTATGTACGTCGCCTCCCTGATCTCTTGACGTCGTTCAAAGCCGTAAAGGTAAACTTCCAAGGGGCTGATGAAAAAATGGCGTATGGCCGTTGTAGGTGACTTCAGAGGTCTTTTCATAAAATATATATTTATTCAATTCATTCCATTTTGCATGAGTATGGCATGCTGATGTTCATATTCAGAGGGAGATTACTGTAAGCGAGTGTCTGCAATTGAACCATTTGCGGTCGACCGTATTGTGCACATTCCATCCTCGTTTTGTCACGCTGGCGGCGATTTTTGAACCAGTTTGAGATCTGGATATCAATGACTTTCTTTTTTTATTTAGAAAATGAGCTCGAAAAAGGAAAGCATACCTGTACAATCTCCAGATCAGTGGCTCGAGAGATTTCCTTCTTCTGGTCAAGTGTGGGGTACTGATTTTGCTTATAAAACTGTTTCAGATACTGTAAAAGAACGAGAGTCAAATCAGAATGACGGCTGGCTTGGTGATGGTCGTACCTTTCTACTATTTTCTTTGAATGAGTAGATAGTTTCTTGTCCGTCCCAAATGCTTCGCGGTGGTGGGTATTTCCGTCGGAGCCTGTATTTTTCCACGGCTCCCAACTCCTTGCCTCGCTTTGACTCGTTCTGAAAAATTCAAGCTGACTTTACCTTTGTTTAGGGAAATATCCACAACCTTGAATTGTCCTGGTCTGCCGTACTTCTTAACAACGATATAATTGCTCTGCGTCATCTAATGCGGAGAATCAAGTCGTGTGTGGAGACGCTTTCATCTATAAATTCGCTCCGACGCATAATTCAGTAAAAATGTGGAGAAAATCGCTCCCCTACTTTTCCCTTCATGCCGCAATCGGTTTAAATTCGTTTCTTTGAGCAGCGAGCTTTGTAAGAGGTACATAGATCTATGATGAACTAAAAGTTTTGGCCTGATCGTCCTCCTTCAAGCTATAAACGTGGTTCAGAGTTTGGAGCTGCTCTTTGAACCGTCAAGCGCTTCTTCCTCCCATGTGAAAATCTGTAGCAAAGAGGTTCTGCACTTACATATCCCATATACAGACACAAGAAGACCGTATTATCATATGTAGGGTCAACGGTTAGCTCCCTCAACGAACTGAAAAGAGTGGTTCAAGAGCCAAATTTATGGTAACATTTAACACGTTGGCGACCGTGTGGTATGATGTCATACCACAGTTTCGCATAGGGCAGACTAGTTCTCCTTAATTTATTTGGTGTTTTCTCCTGTTCCACAAAGGTCCTTGTACAATATTGAGTCTGGAAAACTATTTCTTCATTAGTGGTTAAGAAAACGCTGAAGGATTGATGCCTGTAGATGAGAGACGAAAAATGTTGAAGGAGTACGCGCACAACGGCGGTCGTCAACGTGTTAAACGTACTGCGAGCTGACGATGTCTAACAAGAGCAGCGGATCCTGCGACGTACGGAATCGTCGGTAGGGAAAAGTAGAGGACAGATGCTGCGACTTATTCAGGAGAGAGAAGGTAGTGTCACTCAAGGGGGTATATTAGGTACCGGATATCTTAATGTCGTTTTTCTGAGTTCATGAAGTTTCGGGGCCGATTGCCATGGAAAATCAACTTCCCAGAACGTTCTTTTTGCTTATTAATACTACGTAACATGTTGCTTATTAGTATCTATTGTTACTTTACAATTTACCTCTTCCCCAATTTTATACCT